CCTGCATCCCCCACCGCCTCCTCCCCCCTTTTTTTTTTGCCCCTTCCTCCCCCTAATTCCAGCCCCTCAATCCCTGACACAACCCGGGGATTTTTTTTTTTTTTCCCCTTTTCCCCCATGTTTACGCTCTGACTCTCTGCTCAGTCACTTCGCAAACACGATTTAAAAAAAAAAAAAAAGTTAAATAAAACAGAGAAAAACTAAATAAAGCTCTAAAAGTTCCCAAATCCTTGATCCGCCACGGAGAAGAAGAGCTTTACTTGTTTGCTTTTAATCAGCTGACACAAACCCCGGGATGTGTTGAAAAATAATAATAGTAGAAATAAATCTTCCGCCGAGTCATAATAGAAATAAATCTTTCACCTAATCTTAATAGAAATAAATCTTTTACCTAATCTTAATGGAAATAAAGCTCTCAGCTAATCTGTGGCTGGCTTGTGTCCATCCCGCTGCCCGTGGTGCTCTGGCTGTCCATCCTCATCCATCCTCGTCCATCCTCATCCATCCTCGTCCATCCCCATCCATCCCCACCCATCCCCATTGGGGTCACTCAGAGTGACCATCCCATAGGATCTGGATGAGGAATTTCCCTCTGGATGGAATTTTCTGACCCAAGGAGAGCAGAGCCCCCGTGCCCCTCCTGGGCCCGGGCTGTTCCCGGTGCAGGGCCGGGCTCTGCCCCGTCCCCATCACGTCCCCCGACCCCTCCGGGCTCGGCACTTTATAACCATTTCCCATTTCCAGTCTTAATCTTATAAGAATGAATTGAGAATGACCAGTGTAAATACACAGGTGCCACTGGGAGCAGAAACCACTCTTTAATCTCGGATATGAAAACAATTCCCTGCTCCGCGCGCTGGCAATCAGCGAGTGCCATCAGCGCCACGCTCTCCCCGGGAACACGAGAGCTTATAAATATGAATTAGTGCAGAGAAAATCTACTCTCTTACCTAAAGCTAAATGTTATCTGGGTCCCTTTCCAGCAGTGGCTGACATTTCCAGAGTGCTTTTAGTCACATCTGCGGGAAGACAACTCATTTCTTGTCTTAGGAAAAAAAAAAAGAAGGAAGAGAGGGAGAAAGGGAAGCGGGAGGAAGTGGAGGAGGATGCAGGGAGATGCTGGGAAAGAGGGAATGCTGGATGCCTGAGCCTCCTCTGGAGAGGGGAGCTGCTGGGTGGGCTCTGG